CTGGGGGGCCGGGACGCGGCGGGCGTCCAGGGCGGGGAGACGGGCAGGCTCTCGGGGCGGTCCTGGGGAGAGAGTAGAGGGTGGGGGCAGGCGTTAGTGTTGCGGTCCTCTGAAAACAGGGTTTTCTGTTTTTGAGACAAGGGCTCCCTGTAGAGCAGGCTGGCCTCGAATTCTTGGCGATCCTCCTGCCTCGGCTTTCAGAGTGCTGGGTTTAGGGGCGTGTGTGCCTTCACACCCTGGCTTGAGAAACAGGAAGGGAGAACCCAAAGTCAGGTAGTGCCTACAGTAAAAGGCAGGTGACCCAACTCCCAGCCCCAAACATTTTAGAGTTCGAGCTATAGTGTCAGCTCCTGCGTTAATCCGGGAGGCAGACTGGCTAGAATAAGAATGCTCGCTTTGGAGACGGACTCTTGGCTTTCTGGGTGAGCGGGTCAAGTTGCTTCCTCCCTCTGGGCTTCAGTTTTCTCCTTCGCAAAATGGGTGCGCTGTAGGCTTGGGAGGCATAGAAATTAACTTGCATGAAAGAGCTCGAAATGTATTCGCATACTTGGAGGAAAGTGTGCAATAGACGTTAAGAGTTACTGGAGGGATACACATGAAACTAACCAAAGTGTTTACCTGTTAGGAAACGGGGCAGAGAAGCACGGGGCACAGGGCCACAGGGGACAAAATTGGGCTTTCTAAGGTATTACTTATTTAGAGTTTTGAACTGTAGGGAGGTATTATCTTCCAAAACTTTGAATTTAAGGATTTTAAACTGTTATTATTATTATTATTATTTTGGGGGGGTATACCGGGGATCGAACTGGGGTCCTTGCACTTAGCAAGGCAGGCCACTGAACCGCTGAGCTAAATCCCTGGCCCCTTAACTGTTGTTATTAAAGTTGGTCATAGTGAAAGACCTTCGTGGCCTCAAGCCCCTTGCTATGTGGCCATGGTCCCCTCCTCATTTTTTCCACGGATTCCGGAGCAAAGAGGAAGCTCCCACCTACATGGAAACACAGAGGGAAGTTGGATTGTTCCTGCCAGCCCTCTTGCCCGAACAGAGAGGAAAGCAGAACTCCATGGACTGAGATGGTGACGTCTTTCAGGTTGAGTTATGCTGGGCTCTATGCTGCCACACCTGTTTCTTATCGACTTAAGGACGTTCTAGTCTCAAGCCTCATTACAGTCCTCACAATAGGAATCCTCTCGATTCCTCACAACAGCTGGGCGAGGTACTGGCACTGTCCACCCATTTTATTAATGATGAAAATGAAGCTCAGAGGTGTCAGTAACAGCCCAGTGTGTTCTGCTGCACCAGGGCACGTGTGCATGCGCTGCGCACAGGAACTTGTGTGTGACTGCCTGCTGCTCAAAGACTATACCAGTTTTAACTGGTTTGAAAGCACAGGACTTGGGAATCCACACTTAGTGTGTGTCTTCTAAACCTTCCAACTACTGACTCAGTCGAATTCCAGCCACTTGGCCTCCCAATCCAACGCCAAGTTCACCAGCAGTCATTCACCCATCAGAGTCCTGAGCTAACCCCTCCACTAGGTGCCCCCTTCCAATCAAAGTCTGGAACCATCAACAAAATCCATTCTTTCATCGAATCAGCCATCAGACTTAACCAAGCAGTCATTCAACTAGTTGAGAATCTAGTTCCTCTATCGGAAGGAAGATTGTATACATTGTCCAAACAGAACCCTGCAGTTACTAGATGAGCTGACTCAGAATCAGAGCCCTTAAACCTAAAGAGGAATGCTATGCAACTATGTCAACAGGAACTCTGTCATGGGATGGTAATGCTCCAATCACCTCCAGGGGAGCTTCCAGTCTTCGAGCGGGAGGTTAAGGCTCAGTATGAGACTTCTCACGTGAGTCAAGAGACCTCAAGAGCTTCTCTGATACACCCCAGGAAGCCTGCAGTTGGGACACTGTGGGTGGCAAACCCTGGCACTTAGAGATAGGAGATTGGGAAGAAGGTGCCAGGCCCATGACTAGATAAGGTCTAGAAGCTGACACCAGAATTCGGGGCTAAATGCCAAATCAGGGGTACTCAGGCGTGTCCCAACACCCGGCAATTGTGCCACCCTCAGAGGGCAGGTGGGGACAGGAGCTCATGACCCGAGCCAGTCGACAGCCACTGTGGCAGAGAAGCCAGTGCTCTTCAGCGAGAAGAGGAGGCTAGAGCAGGAGGAGCTACGATACCTGTCTAAACATCGAACGCGTTGTTTCTGCCTGTAAAGGTTACAAGAGGATTGCCGGGTCCAACCGTGGAAGGAGTAAGAGAATTCAGCCAAGACTACGGCCTAGAATGGCTTGCACATCGGCTTGCATGTTGTGGGTAGTGGTGAGCAGCTCCTCATCATTTGGAGGTGGGCCAGAGCCTGACCTCAGACTGACTGCCATGTCAGGGGAATGAGTCCATCGGGGCGGTGCACAATCCAAAGAGGCTGCAGGAAATCAGAACTGTTCACTTTCTGGAAAAGGGCTCAATACACATAGATGCTAGAGTCCGTGCAAATGCAGTGGGTGAAAACTCGGCAACACCCAATGAGCGTAGACCCAGGACCCTGTGTGAGGTGCAGGCACAAGCAGAGCAGAGGCAACAGGGAATAACAGAGTCCAAACAACCCCAGACCACTTCCTGAAAGCCTGTCATTGCACAGAGGGGAAACTGAGACAGGAAAAGGCTCTGCAAGGTTGCACAAGAACCAGGTACCAATCTGGCAGTTCTTTCCTCTCCACCTGGCTCAGACACTGGGCCTTCGGCAGCCAGGCAGTGAGGTGAATGAATGCGGGAAATAGCCAGATTTCAGTAACGGGAGAACGGGAGACCCGAGCAAATTGGATAGTGACTCATCTGACAAAAGTTCTGCTTTTAAAAAACCAAAAGAAAACTGGGCCCCAGGGTTTCCCCATGCTCCACAGTCTCTAGGGAAAGGGGAGACAGAAAGTGACTCATCAGGGTTCAGTGCCCTGAGGGCTGGCCTAGGAGGGAGCTCCCACCTCCAATGCCCGACCAGCTGGCCCCCTGAAGACACACAGCAGATGTGGGCAGCACAGGGCTCGCAGCTGCACTTACACACACAGTTCCTGAGCAGTCCAACTCCACAACCCAGGCCAGACCAGGGAGCAGGGAGGGAGCCCTGAGCCTTGGCAGGCAGCAGCAGCATAGAAGAAAGAAAGAAGCAAGACAGATTTGAGGCAGAGTGTATTGAGAACAGGACAGAAAACAACATTGGGGGAAGAGCTCAGCCTGGTGGCAGGAGCTGCAGGATGGAAGTGGGCTTTTCCTCGCTGGCCCCCTCCTGGGGCCTGAGGGAGCAGGAGGCAGGAGGGGCCTGGCATGAGGTGCCCCCCCACCCCTCACTCTGATGTGCGGCATGAGCTCACTGAGCAAGCACCCCTGTTCCCATGGAGACGAGCCCAGAGCTCATGAAAGCTGCAGGCACAGCCCAGCATGGGCACCGCCTCCACCACCCTTCGCTCCTCTGAGGAGCCCAGAAATAGGGCTGGAAAGAGGAAGTGGGTGGCCCTCAGCCCCCGGTCTTGGGAAGCTTCCATCTGAATCCCGACTCTTGCGTCTATATTGTCACACGCCATGGAGTCTTGGGAGGGGCACTGCATCACATCACAGGGGTTGGAGGGGTTGAGGATCCCAGGTTACCTGACTCAACATCCTCACGCTATGGTTGGGGAAACTAAGACCCAAAGATAGGCATGCAGTCAGTCTATCTGAATCTAGGCCTTAGTCCCAGACTTAGATTTTAGTCTTCTGTCCTCTCCTCCAAGCTGCTGTGCATCTGTCCTGACACTCAACGTCCCCCTGTCCCCAAGCCATCCTGAGTGCCTGCCATCCTCACTCAAGCTTCTGATCCTTTGGCCTCCTGCAGCAGCTCATTCCAACCACACCCACCAGGCCCCTCACAGACAGCTCACGCTGTCCTTCCTGGATATTGTTTTCTATTCTTCCCCGGGGACTATCTTTCCACCCACAAAGGCTTTCTCCCAAAGTACCAGCCTATCTTCTCAGTCTTCCAAATCATCTCCACTCGAAGGGCCTTGTGTACAGACGAGAGAGTGGCCTCAGAGAAAGTGGCCAGACTCACCCAGCACAGGAAAAGCAGAAGGGCCCAGAACCTCCCTCCTTGCCTCTCCCTTCGGCATTTTCCCCACTGTACGGAGACGGGGCCTTTCAGTCAGGGAGCTTTTGGCTGAGGTTAACACCAGAACATCTCCCAGATTCCTCACTAAGGGGCTGCTGTCCTAGCATCACCCGCACTCTCTCAGCCCTCCTCAGAGATCTCCTCTCAGGGACCTGGGAACGCCCCACCCACAAAACAGGGCAAGCTAGGTGGAGGCAGGGCTGGGGTGGGGCCAGGAGTCGCTGGGGTGCAGCTGGGTCCCCAGAGGAAGTGGAGGAGGGGCAGGAAGCAAAGAATCAGACAGCAGCGTGGGCTGAGTCCAAATCCACAGAAGGACTCAGGAGAGGAGGAAAGGTAGAGGCACGTGAAGCTCTCTGAAGCAGCAGAAAAGAATCCGTGTCCAGGGGGCAGAGTGGAAGAGACAGGCCCATGGAGATGCGAATCCAGCAGCAGGAGGAGAGATGCCAGGAGCGCAGAGGGAGGGCAGCTGAGGAGGCAGACCCTTGACTGAAGAACGCCGTAGGCACTGGCGGGCGGTCTGCTCCAGAGGTCCCATCAGAGCCCCTCCTGACACCACCTTCCCGCAGCAAGACGCTGGCCTCAGACGCTGCCGCTCTGCCTTTCACCGAGGCCAGGGGCCGCCCTCAGCCTTTCAGGGCGCCAGAGTTCGCACTCCAGTGACCCACCTCCCCGCACATGGTGCCCAGGCCCCCTTTCGGCGGGAAGAGGCTGGCTGCAGCTCCGAGGCAGTGGCAGCCCCTGAACCCTGGATGCCTCATCCTCTTCCATAAGCCCTGTGCTGCTTCCTGCCTGGTCTGCTCTTTTGGCCTTGGGAGAAGGGGCCTGGACCGGAAGTGGAAGCCCGCGGGAAGACTGTTACTTGAAGCAGAAGGAAGGCTTCCACACCTGAGCCTCGATCCCCGCGTTCCGGGTAGAGAAGGAGGGCCTGGGGGCCTGCTTCGCTCGGGGAGACCACGCCCTGGAGGGAGACACGGGGGACACATCGCTGCTGTAGGTGGGGCTCACGGCTGCGGGCTGCAGGCCGTCCTGGCCAGGGGAGGTGTAGAGGCCTGGCGAGGAGCGGCAGGGCCGAGGCAGGGCCGGAGATGGTGGGAGCCCAGCCTTGGGCAGGCTGGGCACCAGGTCCAGGGAGCTTGGCTTGGCAGGGGAGGCAGCTCGGGCCGACGCCACTCTGGATGAGGCAGCTCTTGGCACTCGGGCCGAGGCCTTGCTGGGCTCCTTGATGGGCGACAGGACGAAGAGCGAGGGCCGCATCTGGTAGGGCGGCTGCTTGGTCGGCTCTGGGCGCAGGACGCCGTTTTCAGGTAGGTAACCGTGGTAGAGGGAGGCCGGCGGGGTCCGCGCGGGGCTCAGGGACGCCACTCGGAAGGCCCCAGGGGCACTGGTGGAGTATTTCCAGGAGGAAGGCAGGGACATGGTGGGCGAAGGGCAGCGGGCCAGCTCCGCGTGGCCTGCAGACTCAATGACGTACTTCTCCATCCGCGACTGGCGGCGAGCGTAGAGCTCCGCGCCCTTCCCGGAGGCCTCCGAGAGGTTCTGGTTGGGTTTGGGCTTCGGCTTGGCCTGGATGCGAGGCGACTTGAGGCAGGAGGTCCACTCGGGGACAGCCTCCTCGGCCGCCGCGGGGCTGGCCCTGTCCCGAGGGCCTGGCTCCTGCTGGAAGTTGGAGGCCTCGGCGCCCAGCGCGAAGGGCTCCTCCTCCGCGCCTGTGTCCCCCTGGTCCCTCTGCCTCCGCTTCTCATCGGCGGTCTGGACCAGATCCAGCAGGTCTGGGTTCGGGGTCACCTTGGGCTTCTCCACGAAAGTGAACATGGATTTCCGGCTGCCCCGGCGGGCCATGGACTCCTCTAAAATGCCCGTCTTGCTGGTGGGTACTGCCTGGACCTTCAGAGGCGAAGGTTTGGCGTCAGAGCTAGGGTACAGGGCAGAATAAGAAGGGGGAGACCGAACCCGGGAAGCTGGGGGCGCTGTGGACAGGGTCTCCGCGTAGGTGGGGGGTGGAGTGAAGTTCCCCAAGGGCCGTCTCTCCAGGGCTGGGCTTCGCTGCCCCACCAGCCTCCTCCCCACCATGGGGCTGTAGGACATGACATGTCTCTGGGGCCGGGGACTCCTGTCTGCCACGGTGTGGGACTGGGGAGCCGGGGCTTTCTCCCCAAGATGTCTCCTCTGCACCATAGGACTCTGCTCCACCTGGCTGGTGCCCCCTGGCGCCTGGATCCCAAACGGCCTGGCCGTCCTGTTGACCACTGACAGAGGCTTGGCCAGTGTGAGGTGGACCTCGCTGTACACCTTAGTGGGCGTGGTGGCAGGTGCCCGCCCAGACATCTTGGGCTCTGCTGACATCACTAGGGTGCTGGGATGGACGTCGATGAGCAGGGCGCTGGACATCAAGTCTGGACCTGGAGGCTTGGAGCTGGGGATGGGAGTAGCTTCTCTGTAGAAGCTGCTGGTGGTAGTCAGTGGAGTCGATACCTTATCAATTAGGAGTTCGCTGGACATCACCTCCTCCACTGGCGCCTGGGGTGGCCCATCAGCACGCAGGGTGCTGGGCTTGGACTCTGGTGTCGTGCCATTTGTTGTGAGCTGTGCTGCAGGAGAATTCTGCTGGACCCCAGAAAGCGCGGGGCTCTGCGGGACGACAGTTACTGGGGGATTCTCATTGATGTCTGTGGCCGGCGGGTTGCAGTTGCTGTTAGAAGCTGGTGTGGCGAGTGTGGTGCTAGGTGAGGACAGGTTCTGGTTGACATCTGCAGCTGGACTGTGGACCTCAGCTGGAGGAGGGGTTGGTGGGGACTCCTGGGCCTCCCGGTTCTGGGACAGGTGAAGCCCATTGGCTGTCAGCAGGGCTGCATTCTCCTTTAGATAGACCACCAGCGGCACCTCTTCCTCCTCACTGGCCACCTTCTCCAGGTGCCGCAGCAAGCTGGCCTCCTCTGAGAACCCCTCCATGCTGTGGCCAGGGACCCCTCGGCTGGGGACCTGGGGGCTAGGGTGTCTTGGAAAGCCCGGCTTGGCCGGTGCAGGTGGACTCAGGTGGAGCCCTGGAGCATGGCCTGGGGGCCTGGCAGGGAGCTCCCTGAGGGTCTCCTGCTGGGGCTTCGGACCCTTCTGGCCGTGGCTCTCCCAGGTAAACTCATTCACCCTCTGCCGGCGCCTGTTGAAGAGCTGGACGCCCCGGGAGCTGGGGCTGGGAGGGGTGGTCAGCTGGGCTGCAATCTGCTGGCTCCTCGCCTTGGCTTCCTTCAAGTCCTTCTCGGTGAGGCTAGTGCTCCGGCCCAAGGCTGCAGGGAGGGACAGAGGCCCAGTTAGCAAGTGGGAAAGCAGAGCCACAGGAGTGTACAGACACAGATGGTCACCGCGCCCTCCTACACATGACCTTTTCCTCTGGAATTTGATCTTTACACTTGCCTAGAATCAGCTCTCATAAAGACACGTGACCCACCCTTCATAGCCTAATTCCAATGCCACCGCCTCTGTGAAGTCTTCTCTGATTGTCACTCCAGGATTACCTGGCCCTTCATGGGTTGCAACCGTAGGTTGACATAGCACTTCACCAAAAGAGGCCCAACACCTCGGCCTGGAAGTGAAGGTCCCGCTAGTCCCTGACTTCTCTCCCATCACCTTTCTCCCTCTCTCCTTAGACTCTGCCACACTGGCTTCCTGCCCCTTAAAAATGCCAAGTGTGTCCTGCCCCAGGCCCTTTGTACCCATTGCTCCCACTGCTTGAACAGTCTTTTACATGTTGGTTCCTTCTTGGGGCTCAGGTCTCAATTTGAAGGTCCCCTCTCCAGAGCATCCTTCTCTTCTCCTAGCCAATTTGTTGGTTTTATTTTTTTCACCACAATTTGAAATGGTCTGCTTTGTACGTTTCCTTGTTTATTACCTGTCTCTTCACCCAGCATAGCGCTGAGGGGATGTGGGCCTTGGATGACTATTCTAATGGCCATTAGAATAGTGCCTGGCATAACGTGAGCTCTCGGTGATGACTACTGAATGTATAAATGAGCCCCTGGGACATTTCCTGTATGCCTTTCTCAGTGTCCTTTGCACTTTCACATTCATAGTATAGTAAACTGCTTTGATTGTAGAAAGTATTGCCACAAGCAATACTTCTTTTTAGAATGGGCAATACATTCACATGTTATTTATAAAACTAATAGCATAAAAAGCTATACAGTGCAAGTGTCCCTTCATCCCTGATTATTACACATCACAATCAGGAAATTACCTGTTGTAAGTTGCTTCATATCCTTCCAGAATTTCTTCCCTTTTCTATTTAAAACAGTCATTTAAATATTCACATATTTTAACACCAGAAAAGTAATGAATCGGGCTCATTTCAGCAGTGACTCTACCAGAGCACCATATTCTTTTGTTCTTTCCTCACAAGAACTCTATGAGACAGAGCATTACTGGCCTCCATTTTGCAGAAGAAGAAACTGAAGGTGAGGCTTGTGAGCAACCGACCCAAGGTCACACAGCCCGGATGGCAAAGCTGGGGTCAGCCCACAGCCCATGTTCAAGGTCCCTCTGGGAAGTAGGGGTGGACAGAGTCACATGTGGGTCCAGGTTCAGTCTGGAGACTGAGGTCAGGGGTTAGACCCCTATTAAGTTTACTGTAGGCAGCCATCTCTCTTTAGATCCCCAGTGCCCTGCTGGGACGGAGCAATGAATGGACGAATGGACCCATGGGTGGCTGTTTCAGCCCATGGCTGGGGTCTGGAGCTCAGTAGCTGAGAAAATTCCTCCCTTCTCATCCCTCTCCCCCACTGTGAGAAGCTAATTGGTTCTGGAGGAATCTGACCCTGCCCTCCCTCCTCCCTTGCTCTCATTAGTGTTGGCCGTGACCTGCCTAGTGGGTCTCCAGGGACGGTCTTTCCCGCACCCTGCCCGCCAGGCTTAGGAATCCTAGACTCAGAGCTGGGAGGGTCCTTATAGAGGAGCTGTTTCACTACCACCCCACCTTACACATGGGGAGACTGAGGTCCAAAAGGTAGCCCGGAGTAGAGCCTATTGGAGGAATCCACTGGAAGCCCAACAGAGGACAGATGGCAGCCTCACTGGTCCAGGCCACGAAGCCACAGGCTTTCTATTCTAAATCAATACCTGGCTTCCCCCAACCTGTTGGAAACAGAGCTCACAGCCCACCTCACCTGCTCAGGACTAGGTCACCCCATATGTAAAAGGTAAGGGGTGATCCAGGCTGCTTCTCTGGGAGGAGCCAGAAGTGGGAGGTTGTCAACCGCACAGGAGAGTGCTGAGAGTCCGTTTCTTCTGCTCTCCTTAAAACCCAGGCCTCATACTTGTAATCTCAGGACTCAGGAGGCTGAGGCAGGGGGATTGCCACTAATTCACGGCCAGCCTGGGCTACACAGTGAATTCAAAGCCAGCCTACAATACATAGTGAGACCCTGTCTCAAAAAACAAATCAATAAACAAACAAACAAAAACCAAAACCCAGCTCTCCCCACCCAAATCCAAGCTCTGCCATTTGTTAGCTGAGTGACCTTGGCAAGGTACTGCAACTCTCAGAGACACTGTCTCCTTAACTGGGAAGGGGACAGAAGCACTCGATGTTAGGACTGGGAGGTGACAGTGAGGTCATGCGTGCCGGGGGTACCAGCACCACGTCCTGGGGGTCACGGAAGAGGGCTTATGCTACTGTGGGAAGAACTGGCAGCTCCCTAACCCACTGTATGCCTTGAAAGAGGCCAGAGATTCATGCCGTAGTAGGTCAAGATCCTGAAGTTCACACAGCAGAACCCCAGAATCTCGGAGGTAAGTACCACTGAGTCCAACCTCCCCCATAATTCTCACATCCCCCAAACCATGTCCCTGCGTGTACAAGCTCCTGTGTACACACTCAGCAGACACATGCTCACTCCCGGCGGGGTGTGTTCCCCCCATACATTCCTCAGCCGTACAGTCACCTCTCCTATTAACTTTCATTCCATGGGGTTCTGCCCACCACAGCCACACAAAAGCAGTGCTCTCTCCTTCCAGCAAGACAGCCCTGCAGGGGTTCACAGGTGCAGATCAAATCCCACAGGACACAAGATATTTGTCCCCAGGCCCACAAATGTTTGTGAGGACACAATGGCGGCAGTGGCACCTAACACTGGTTGGGCGTTCAGTGTGTAAGGCACAAACTATTATTATGCACATTTTTATTCATTCATTCATTTATTTTCAGACAGGGTCTGTACTTTCTTTCCCCAGGCTGGTCTTAAATTCTGGGCTTGAGTGATCTTCCTGCCTCAGCCTCCCTAGTATGCATATCCTACTGAGAAGAAAACCAAGCATCTGAGAGTGGGCTGACCAACTTCACACCTGGTCCTCCGTCATGCAGAGAGCACCCTGGGTCCTGCCTGGCGGGTTCCCACTGTGTGAGCTTCCTGCACAGTGCTTCTGTGTTTGAATAACCCAGATCTCTCAACATCCCTGCACTTTTCAGCTTTTCTTCTATTTCTTCTGCTTCAATCCTATCAGGCTGGCTCTGAAAGATCATGGATTTAGAAAACCCTTAAATGCCAGAATGTGCAGAGCTCTTGGAGAAAAGGGGAGAAAAGGGGTCACAAGGAGGCCGTGGGCCCAGGAGCCAGGTGCGGCCCCCAGCTGGCTCTACTTGCAACCTGAACTGTGCCTTCCCCCACCACCCCGGCTTGGGACAGCCGGGCCCGTGTGACTGTGGTGATCCAGGGCAGGACGGCAAAGGCCAGGGTGGTGAGCTCTGCCCTCCCAGACCACAGTGACTCCACAGAAAAGGAATTCAGCAGGAGCTTTGGACCAGACCCAGCCACCAGTCCCCAGGATTCCTGCCACCCAGCAAACAGAGCAGGCAGGGGGAGGGGCCGCCAATCCTATTTAACACCCCCCACAGGGTTCACAGTCCCCACAGGGCGCCAGGAGACAGCTCCTCACTGAGCACTGAATCTGCCGGGCTGCAGCCCACACCCCTGCTTCCCTTTTCACCCCAGTCCAGGTCTGGGTGGGCAGCTGGCCCTTTCAGATCCCCTGTACACCTGGGCAGGAGCCCTGCGACACAGTCCTGGAGAGAACAGAGTGGAGGAGGAGCCGCCCAGGCCCAGGGCCCCAGTCTCTAAGGGGGAGGTGGGAAGCCTTGGAGGAGCGCAGGCCAGAGCAGTGCTGCACCCCACACGCTCACCTCCTTATTCCATCACAGTAGCCCCAAGACACAGATTGTTACTTCTCCGTTTTGCACATGAAAACCAGGCCCAGAGATGCCTGCTCAGGGTCCTAGAACCTGTAAGTGGCACAGCTACAATTCAAAAGCTAGAAAGTCTGGCTGCAAAATCTCATCTCTTAACCACTTTGCCTTCCAGACAGGGGCTCAAGAAAAGATGCAGTGCTTCTGCACGAGAGTCTGCAGAGCACTCTGCCTCCGCGTTCCATGATCTCTTCCTCTGTCCTGGAAACTCAGCCACCTAGAACTCATGCTTTCTCTTCTTTCTTCCTCCCAGAAGAATAACTGATAAACTAACTCTTACTAAGGCAGAAAAGACTGATCAGGTGTTAAGATGAGTAGAGTCGAAAGTTCATGAGGTTGGGACTCAGGAGGCCCCTAGTATTAGTTTTGCTCAGGCAGGAACAAGGCCTCCTCCCAATCCCTATCACCCTTGGCAGGCAGCTGCTTACTCCACCCGTCATTGCGTCGTCTGCATCAAGAATCCAGGGGCTGGGGATTTAGCTCAGTGGTTCCACCATTCGCCTCGCAAGCGTCAAGGTCCTGAGTTCGATCCCCTGTACCCCCCAAAAATGTGGATCCAGAATCCAAAGGACGGAAGTGGAGCAGGGCAAGGGAGGCCAGACCAGGTCAGGACAGGGAGAATTCAAGGAAATGCTTTTTCACACGCCTGCCATCATGGGAATGTCCGGCCCGGGTCCAGTGGGGTGGGACAAACAGACAGAGGTGGGAACAGAGAGAGTGAGCGGGCCCTTTGTGGCTGCCTGGAAGTCATGGCCACGGACTGGGTAAACTGCCCCCCTGGTGGGGCCAGGAAGGAACCAATGGCCTCCAACTGGACAAACTTTGGCTCAGCCGGGGCAGGAAAATAAAGTGGTCTGCGTAATGCCTAGCTACCTTGCCAGCCCCCGCCTAGCATCCTCCGCAGGAAGGGAAGAAATGGCATGGCCTCCTTGCTCTGGGGCTTTTTCATCCAGCCAGAGGCAGGGGATGCAACCCCGAGAGGCCCACAAGACCTCCAGACCTCCTCCCACACTTGGGCGTGGGGAGCCCCTCCAGTTTCACCACTTACGCCTC